TGATATTGTTATATCAAATTTATTTTCTCTTAAATAAGAATTGATTTTTAATTTAACATCTTCATCTTCCAATATACTGGTTCCAACTAGGTGTTCACCACGTCTACATTTTGGAATATCACCATATTCTATAAAAGCTTTTGACCAGCTTCTTACACATCTTGCAAACCACTTACCTTTACCCATCAAATCTGAAACAACTTCACTGGCTTTAATCTTAGCATATCCTTTTTTCTTAGTTGTAAAAAATGCTGAACAGCCTTAAGTCTGATTTTATGATTTGGAGTTAAATTTTCTGAAGTTAATTTTGACTCTATTTTATTAATCATTAAAGTAAAGTTATCTATTTATTCATCATCATCATCATTCTTGGGCAAAAAGAATTGATCTAATGTCTGTCCATTTCTTTGGGCATCAGTTTTGGCTTTATTTTTTCTTCTGTATATTGTCATTCTTGAATTCCCTGTATACTTTGAAGGTCTATTAGATGAAATTAAATTTTCAATGTTTTTTGATAAAATGTCATAGATTGTGTCAGCATTTTTATTTATTTCACTGTCAAACCACAAAAAACCTTCATCTTCAACATTTGCAAATTCCTCTCCATATTCATTTCCTACATCCTCAGTATCTTCAAAGAAAATATGACTTTCTTCAATTTCATCATCTGCAGATTCTTCTTCAACATTTGTATTTTCCTCTGCATTTTCAAAGGTTTCAAGAACTGTAGAGCTTTCTTCATTTTCCTCTGCACTTTCAAAAATTTCAAGGACTGTAGAATCTTCTTCATTATCTTTTTTTTTCTTTTTTGCTGCTGCTAATTCTTTGCACATCCTAATTTTTCTTTTAGGTTTTGGCATTTTATTTCACAAAATAATTAAAAAGAATTGCACTGAATTAGAACATGTTTCTCATTAATTTTGTGTAACACAACATATGATTATTTTTGCAAATTGCAATAAAACATATGGTTATTTCTGTGATTTATGAAATTCTAAAAGATATAAATATAAGTCTTGTTGTTTGAAGGGTAATGTATTTTAAAAAAATATTTTTTTATAAAATAAAGTTTAATTAAAAAAAATGTCACAAGAACAAACATCATCATCTAAAACTAAAAAATGAAACTTTATTACAGCACAAGAAAAAAGAGAGATTTGCTTATTAAAAAAAAAAATAAGCCTGAACCAAAGAATGTTGAATTAGCAGCAAGATATGGTATTAGTCAAGGTCAAGTAAGTGACATATTAAAAGATCTTGAAAGATGGCTTAATACCGATCCAAATTCCTATCAAGCAAAATTAAAAAGAACACATACTTTAGCTTTTGGGCCAAGTTTTCTAATCCACAGAGTGGAGGGACCTATGTGACAGATATTATAGTACCTGTAATTCAAGCTGTATTAAAAACTTCCAGTCGGGAAATCTGCATTCATTAGCACATGAGTATTTTTTATCATTAAGAATTGTTCTTATTGTTATATTAATATGATTTATATAGGGCGGAATGCCAAAGTGTTGCTAGCAAAGACCAAAGAGGGAAGAGTGGGAAATGCCAAGATATTATGTTCATGGCAAAGCATGATAGGAGAATCTATGAATTAATTTTTGCAGAATATTCTTGTCTTGTCTGTGATAAATGAAAAGAAGAAGATGAAGTGAAGTTGTGGAGAGAAATTAATGACGGCTTGTATTGGGCACATAGGGGGTGTAAGATGGATGATGATGAGTTTGGTGTAATTGGCATTCAGGTTGGTGGACAAAAACTTCATTTATATGTTCTCATTAGGGATGATGATGAAATAAATCGCCTTTTTCTATTAAGATCAGTAGATATTCCAACACAATATTTGGATGGCGATTGTGTGTTTAGATTTGTAGAAACTTTATTATTTTTACAGGTAGAGATTTGCTCAAGTCTATAATATGCTTAATTAGTTTAATACCAATTTTTTTTTATTATATGGGCATACTGCAACAAAACCATACAAAGTGAGCATTGGTATTACCAAAAAATTTAGGGATCAATTGTGTTTGTTTAACATCACAATTGTTTGTCTCTAGATAAAAATAGTCAATATAAAACTCATCTACATCAGATCTACTATGGAACCCAAGAATTAGAAGTATTTTAAAAAGGAACAAGGTGAAAAAATTGCTCCTTACATTTTCAAAATAAATGATACTCAGACACTGGAAGCTTATCTAAGAAAAGAAAAGATTACCTATGAAATTTACCAAGAAGAAAGAAAAATAATAAATGTTGGAAAAAGAAAGCATCACAATGATGCATTATTACCCAACAAAAAGCAAAAATCATTAAAAGGAAAATAATTTTATTATTACAATATTTCTTAGTATATTGGTAACATTTTAATTTAAAATATTTCTGATTGTGCAAAACGAAGTGAACGGCCTCCCAAAAACTATTTAGATCAACCAACTATACTTATGATCCATTAACTGAACATTTATGTCGAATACTTTTCTTTCATTTTTTTTGCCATTTTAATACACATAATTTAATTTTTTAAAACATAAAAGCAAGGCTCGCATTAATATGATATTTGATATAATTAGAATTTAGCGCAAACTTTAAAATAGAACCCTAAATATGTAACTTTGACTTTTTGTGCGACTAATACTTAATAATGGTGAATCAAATATTTTTATCAATTAAAGAAAAAATGGCCTGTCATAACTCATCACACACATAAGTTTTCCCAATGTTTTGAGCTCCCAGGAAGCATCTTTATCAACATGGCATATTAAATATTTATTAACATTACTGCATGTTACCAATAATTTTTATCACAAAAATTTGCATCATGTCATAGCCAAAAGTAATTAACAAATGCAAGGATTTACATCATAAAAAAGTAAAAACAATTATTTGGAGGTAAAAATTAATATTATTTCTAAATTTTAGTGTTTTAAAGTCATGACTAAAAATATTGCATTTTTGATTCTTTGACAATGATCTTTTAAAAATTTAATAATAATATATGTATATATTCTTCTTTCGATTACATAAAAAAAAAAAATTTTTTAACGCATTGATCTGTTATGAATCAATTTCTTCAAACGTATTTTTATTGAATTTTTTTTCTTGGACACCTGCTGAGAGCTTTTTATCAAACCCAAATCATAGAGCTTTTGGGGGTTTATCCTTCTGGAGAAAATGGCATTTATTAAAATCATTAATTCTTCACGTGTCCATTCCCTTCTTCCAGAAGTAATAATTCCATCTTCATCATCCAACACACTTAATTCTTCTTCCAATCCTTGCCCTTGTACTTGTAAATTTTGAATTGATCTAGCAGTAGTTTCAGTGGATGAAGTAGATGCAGTGTCTGTTGCACTATTAGCTGGTGATGATCTTTTAATTTCATTGGTAGAAGAAAAATTATCACTAGTAGTTGAAGCTTCATTATTATCATCTTTGCTATTTTTTGTGAGGAACTGTATTTCTTCATCCTCTTCACATACTATCATCATTTCTTCCTCATTCTTGTGAAAATTAGTTATAGCATGGACAACTTCTTTCTGTTGACTTTAAAAAAAATTTTTTATTAATATACACATATATGTTTATATATGAAAACAATTAATTTATAATTCATTAATATATATGCTACATACTTTAAATTTAATTGAGAGCCTGGTAACAATATATCATATTCTGTATAGATTTCGGGTAATAACAAATCATTATTCTTTATGCAGTTGTCAACACCTAAAATGGATTCTTGGACTTTGTATGATTCTGTAGTTCTTTCTGTTGGTAATGATGATTCTGTTTCTTTTGGTCCTGTAGTATCTTCTGCATTTAGTGGCGATTCTGTGGTTACTTCTGGATTTGGTGATGACGATCCTGTGATTGCTTTTGCTTTTATTGATGTTGATTCTGTATTATCTTTTGCCTTAGGTGATGGTGATGATGGTGATGGTGATGGTGATGGTGATGGTGGCGATTTCGTGGTTTTTTTTACTTCTGGCAATGATGATTCTGTAGTTGCTTCTAGATTTGGTGATGTAGTTGTTTTTGCTCCAGGTGGTGATTCTGTAGTTACTTTTACTTTTGGTGATGTAGTTGTTTTTGCTCCAGGTGGTGATTCATTACCTATTTGGTAAAATTGATTTATTAATTATTTCTCATTAAATTTTTTATATTAGCAAAAAAAAAATATATATACCGGAAATTGAAGTAGCTTTATTTTTATTGGCAAGAATATTATTTTCATACATGCTTTTAAAATAATTTACTTGGTCTAGATAAAAAAATGATTAAAAAGAATCAAAAGTTAATTATTGTTGTTTCATCAATCATTGTCATCATAACATCATAACAATACTAAACATTCTAACAATTGTTTTCTTTCTATGAAATTATCAATTCTACAAATGAGGCCAAATTTTTGATTTTGTCAATTTTTTAAAAATACTACTATCAATTAAAAAATTCCCATTGAAAAAAAATCATGCGCATGTCACATCTCTAGCTGATAGTCTCTAAATTTGTACTAGTCAAAACTTTGATGGATTTAAATATTATTGATGACGTCATTGACTCCACCTAAATGCCTTTTTTCACAAGAGTTCGTGTTCAAAGAGTTGCTTTGCTAGCAACCGTTTTAGGTGGTATTTACTTTACAGATCATAAATTTAATGCAAGAACTTTACAAAGAAATACATTAACAGTGTGGAATGGGTAAATTAATTGGATTATTATAATCGTTACAATCATTATAGCTTTAAAATAATTTGAATGTTTTAAAATAAATGAACAGACTTTGTATCGCGTTGGATTATAAAATTAATTTCAGACCTGGTAAAAGTGACAAAATAGATGATTTACATGAACGAGTTGCAAACAGAATACTAAATGTTTGTAGATCTAATGGGTAAAAAAATATGATAACCAGTTTGAATGTTTGTTTTTAAAGATAATTTTTTACCAACTTTATTACTTCATTATTATTATCATCATTATACTAAAAAAATTTTTTTTTACAAAGTGGCTTATATATAAAATTAGGTCAATCAATAGGAGTACAGTCTTCAATATTGCCGTTGGGTAATTTATTATTACTGTTAGATGATGGATATTTATTTAATTCAACCATATTCTAACCTGGTATATTTTTAATGATTAGCATATCAAAAAGCATTCAAATCCTTATATGATGATGCGTATGTATGCCTATGAAATTTTAAATCTTTGTTATCTTTATTCTATTATTTACTCGTCATGATTTCAACAAACTCAAGTCCAGCAGTAGATTTTAATCAAGTGATTAAGGTATTTGAAGAAGACTTTTGTTGTCATCCAGACGATATGTTTGACAATTTTGAGCGCACTGCTATTGCATCAGCCAGTGTTGCACAAGTTCATCGCGCTAAACTTAAAGATGGTACACTAGTTGCAGTGAAAATTCAAAAGCCGGACATTAGAAAACAAATGGTATGTCTATGTTTATTCTATTATCATTAATTAAAATAATGGCTTGGTAATTCAATATAGTTGATTTTTATCTTTTATTTTAGGATTGGGATTTATTAGCTTATAAAGCATTAATGTATATGTACGAGTATATTTTCGATCTTCCTCTTACATGGTCATCATCATTTACTGTGAAACATATAAGGCAAGAAGGTAAATTCAAAGAAGGAAGGGCTATTGAATTTGCCAAAGATTTTATTAAGCTTCTTACGAGTCGGCTTGCAAGCTTATTAAGTTATCTGGGGTTGTGAGTTGGCTTGCATGAAGCTTTAAATTTTATATTTAAATATTTAAATATTAATTTTATTTCATTAATAAAGTCGACTTTGAAAACGAGGGAAGAAATGCTGAAAAGGCGCGACAGAATTTTGAAAAAGAAAGCTCATTGTGTGATAAAGCCTATGTTCCTACAGTTTTTTGGGATTATACAAGTAAAAGAATACTAACTGCTGAGTGGATAAATGGAGTTAAAGTCACAGATATAAAAGGATTAGAAAGGTGAAATTATAACACTTTTCTTTTTTTTTTTTAATTTTCATTGAAATAGTATTTTAAATCTTTTTGTTTTAGTTATGGTTTTTCATTAAAAGATGTTATGAAAACCGTTATAGATGTTTTTTCTTTCCAAATATTTCAAAGTGGCAAGTTTATATTATAAATGTATAAATATATATATATCAAACGATCTCCCTTTAATTTAATAATTTATTTATCATCTATTTTTTTAAATAAAATAGGATTTGTACATGGTGAATATTTAAAAAACAAATAAGAATATTTTTTTTTTTAATAATCTAATACATTAATTGTAAATTATTATTATTGTAGCTGATCCTCATCCAGGAAATGTTTTTGTGAGGCCACATCCTTTAAAAGGTGGCAAAAATTATCAAATAGTATTGATTGATCATGGCTTATATGTGGAAGAATCTGCATCATTTAGACAGCAATATTGCTTATTTTGGAAATCGGTAAGGTTAAAAGATTGTTTTTTTTTACATTATTCTAAATCAATCCATTATAAAATATTTTAATATTATCATTATTTAGTTATTTCTGATGGATACTGATGCTATAAATCAAATATGTAAAAACTGGGGAATTAATGAGCCTGAAATTTTTGCAAGTGCAACGTTGATGAAGCCTTATCAAGCCAACATAGCTTTACATATTACTTCCACGCAAGCTGTTACTTTACAAGATGCATATGAGATGCAAATGGCAGTAAAAGAAAGGATAAAACAGTTCCTTTCAGACACAGAACTTATTCCAAGAGAATTGATTTTTGTTGGAAGAAATATGAATATAGTAAGATCATTGAATCGAGAGCTTGGTAGTCCTGTTAACCGTATAAATATTATGGGAGAATGGGCGGCTAAAGGTCTTGGTCCCAAGTGGTCAGTTTGGAATGGTACTAATAGAAAATTGGGGTTTTCAGGAAATTTATCATTTATATTGGGACAATTTAGCTTTTTAATAAGTAGCAGATTTAATTATTGGTTGTTTAAAGGAGCTTTATTTTTAATATCATTAAGGTTTTATTTTAATAAAACTAAAGAGACAATTATTAAATGGATTAAAAGTGATAGTAAAACTAAAGGTTTTGAGGAAATTTTGGATGATCAAATGAAAAGATCATTGGAACAAAATTTCGGCGTTGTTTTGGATGAAAGAATTTTTGAGGGATGAAAAAAAAAAATATTTTCACAATATTTATGAATTGATTGTTTATTAGTTCATAAATGATTATTATAATAATAAATTAATGTCTATAATCTTATATATTAACATATATATAGAAAAACTCTAAAATCAAATTAATTTTTAAAATTAAATCCAATCTATAAAAATGGAATAAATTTGTATGTAATGATATAGTCCATTCAATCTAAATCTTCCTCGACAATAATTCCATCAACTTTTTCAACAACTTCATCAATTACACTCTTTAAAATTTCTTTATTTTTTTCTCTGACTATAAAACTAATAATTACCCATCTATTATCATCACTAATCCATTTAGGATAACTGCCAATCTTTATATCCGAGTGTTTTTCTTGTAATTCAGTTAATATAGGAGCAATAAAACTTTCTGGTTGAAAGGTTTTAACAAAAGATCTAAAAAATTTCTCTCCCACTTTTAAATATTTTTGATATCCATCCAATAACCCACAAAATAATTTTGGTACACCAGGTAACACATGAATATTACTATTTACTATTATTATTGGTACCCATAATTTTGGGCTCGGATAGACCACTAATGATGGTGTAAGAAATAAAGCCATACGATTACGTGCAATAATTGCTTCTTGTGACAATTCTGTTGGCATAGCTTTCGAAGATGGCGTGTTAGAATTAACATACATCATACGATCCAGTGTTTGTTGATGAGGTGTTAATTGGAGATTAAAGGCTTTTGCAATTGTTGGGTATGTTATATCATCATGTGTTGGACCTTAACATATGTTGTACATATAATTTTAATAATCTATTTACATATATAGACGCATATATAATGAATGATACCAACCTACTCCTCCACTAGTAACTACAAGATCGAAATTATCGCTTAGTCTTCTTACGGCTTCAATTATCGTCTAACACACATATATATCTTTAGTTGATAATGTATTAATAACATTATTATTTGACATTATTTTCTGAGATAAAAGATTGATTAAATTTACTTGCTCGTCATCAGGAATAACCTCTATTTTTTTCAAATCAATTCCTAAATTAAAACAATATTTTGCTTAAAAAAAAAAAAAAAGATATCAAAATCATTAGACGTAATTTAAATCCGTTTATCTTTTTTTAAAGGGTATATATACTCAAAACAACAAATATATACCAAAATATCCTGAATTTGTATCAACAGTTTTTCCATAAAGTATCTCATCACCAATTATTAGGCATGCAGAAGTTTTTGGAAACGGGCGATCCTTTAACTCAGATATTGGTGTTATTGGCAGATTAAACTTTCTATTATAATCATCATCAGAAGACATTTTGAAAGTGTTTATGAATTTTTTAGCAAAGATATTTACGGTGTTTTTTTTCGAAAATTTTATTATTGATTCTTTTAGTAGCTGTTTTTATTTTATAAAAAGTTAAATTTATTTATTTAACCAAAGAATATAAAAATAGTAATATAAAGAATGAATGACCTACAAATCTTGAATTAGTAATTTGTCTACAGGTAACGAATGGAGAGGAAAAAAACATGATTATTATGATTATTATTATTTATTTCAAATCGAAAAATTTTCATATCAAATTTTGACGTAGTACAAACGTACATCCAAACTATATGAAATAAAATCGTAAGGTTTTTTGTTCTCGATGGTGGAAATGTGAATTATTATTATTTTCATAATCATTGACATTGTCGTTTTGATATAATTCTTATAGGAAGTGTATTTTAATATACCCAAACTAAAATGAAACACAAAATATTTACAACAAGATGGTCCGCGCCACACAAGAATAATGCGTTCGTTCCATTGCATTTAGTACCATTGCGCTGCATTAAAAGCCACATCTACCAATATATGGTGTTATTGCTACTGTTGCTACAACTGAGGAGATACCGGGATTTGATTTGCTTAAAAAGGAGCTGTTAAAGAAGGAAGAATGATCACCACAAACTCAGTATTTGGGAAATATGGCTGAACATATTTAATGCATTATTAAGATCTTTAGTCTCGTTGAATTCCACATGCGTTATTCAGTAATTCAATGACATAATTAAGAAAACCATTACTATTACATCTCCCCCCATAAAATTAATAAATTTTAATTCAAATACTTGCAGAAATCATTCATATACAGAATCAATAATGTCTTCACTAATCTATTTTATCACATAAAATAATTTACTATATTGGTGGGAACGTTTGTTAGATATGAATCAAACAAAAGCTTTTGAAAAAAATAAATATATTTTAGTATTTCAATATTTAAGAGCTACAGTCAAACCTCGTTTCAACGAATTATAATTACTAATCGCGTTTCAACGAACGAATTTTTAATATTTTTGCTTCACAAATAAAAACATAAATTCGTTGAAACGCGATTAGTAATTATGGTATAATAAATGCAATTTTTTATGCGTCCCATAGATTCGTCGAGACGAGATTTGACTGTATTATGAATTTTTCGTATCTGTTCAAATATATCAATATCACTTACTATTAAATATTAAACTCTAAAAACAATAGAATGTCCTTTTAAATGATCAAATTGTTTGTATATATAATCCCATTTTTCATAATCTCGAGTTAAATTCATGATATTTACGCAGATCAGCAGTGTTTCAGCGTATAATGTTGTTGTATATAAACAGCTACTGTTGACGAGCCCATGGCAATATATGCTATGGAGGCGCAACTACTCGCTTCAACCACTGGAGTCGTAAGAAAACCATAAAATAATTTACATTTTTCAAAAGAACTTTTTCAAAACATTTCCAGTTCCAAAGCCGTTAAGAATTCTTAATCTCTCTATAGACACAATATTCAACGCATTTCCATGAAATTTTTTATCGCACCCGTTTATATAAAGCTGTAGCGATATTAATCTCCGAAATGGGCGTATGTGATACGAAAAAAGACATCCATTTTTAAATTAAAAAGTTTTAGATATAGAGTTAATAAAAGTAATAATTTTACAATCACTACAAAAAAATCGATGGACATAAATCGATACATGCACTTTTAAACCTATTCCTTCCATGACTTCTTCTTCTGGATCTAAAGAACAAATACAAAGAAAATGTATGTAGTTAATCGAATTTGATTCATTCTATAAGAATCAGATTGTCGCGGTTGCGGAGATTTTATGATTTTAGGTGAGCCATTACTCAAATCGAGAAAGAGTTTAAACTTGCGAGGAAAAATGCGTCCAAAGATGGATTAAATTGGATGACATAGAAATAGATTTGCAACCTATTAAAATTAACAAACGTGAGAAAGTTCTTGAAACTATTCACAAGCCGAAAGAATTGACAAGCATCATTTTTGTCTTATAGTTATATGCTATTCATTTCTGATCTTTGTATTACTCAGTTGTACATGATGCGTTGAAGGTTTCACTTCGTCAACTAATTCCAAATTTGTGTGGTGTCTATAGTTAATGGTAATGAATTTCGACCCGATGATGTCGGAAGATGGAATCAACGACCGACACGCCAACAAAAATTTGAGCCTATCATTCATTCATCTCCACCTCCTTTATTATGTATTGAAGTAATGTATTAATTTTCTTGGGGGGAGATGTAATAGTAATGCTTTTCTTAATTATGTCATTGAATTACTGAATAACGCATGTGGAATTCAACGAGACTAAAGATCTTAATAATGC